GTAGGGAAATAAAGGGGAACACACTGTTCATACACAGCATGACCACTGATGGTTACATTTTAACTAGTGATCACCATAGCTCGGATGTTACTAAAAGACAAATAAATATGCAAAGACCAGGGATTCTTAGAGGGATAGAATGAACGACAAATATATTCTTAGCGGGACAGAAATGAATGACAAATACAGCATCAGCACAGTGAAAAACTTAAGTAGGTGCAATCTGTGGTTGGAAGCCCTGTCTTGAGGGAAGCCTCATTTATTTTCTTGGTTCCTCATCGGTCAGTATAGGGTTTCAACTTAATTTGGTACACCTCAGACAACTACAGCTGTCATCTCCATTAAGTGGCATCAAAAACTAATGCAGAGAGGTACAGCAATTCCATCTACACTACTGAGTATTTTGAAATTGTTCTATACAGCTGGAGCAGAGCTTTTCAAAACACACTGATACCAAACCCAGAGATATTTAATTTTTCTTGGTAAGAATTACAATGTCACATCACATGACAGGCAATTTACACTTTGTGATGTGATTTCCACTCATGAGACATACCTGAGTAAAAATATTGTGAGTCTGGCTTAGAATCCACCTTCCATCAGCATCAGGAGCTACCAATAATTTCAAAGTCCCTATGTAAACATCAGTACAGAGGGTCCAGAAATGTGGATCATGTAAACTGTAAACTCCTTGCAACTGCTGCACCTAAAAATACAAGCAAATTTTTAAAAAATATATTTCAGAAAATGTTTATCTGTACTATGTTCTTTTACAGAAAGTAGTATAAAAGCCAATGCATTCTTTTACTTCTAGTTCACTGTGCAATTTGTGGTATTTCAGTTAAATTCCTTATTACTATCTCAGTAATTGTAAGGAAGGTGAAAACATACAGATTGTACGTATCTGTCATATTCTGTATCTTGCTGCATTTACATTCTACATATATTTACTGAAACCATTTCTGAAAACAGCAGTGTCCAAGAGAGAAAAGTCAGGTATTAAATTTGAGAGGGCATTCAATTAAAACAACAATTTTTACCAATGCAGGCATTTTCCCATAAAACAATTTGTGAGAGATTCTAACTATTAACAGAAATATATTAATATTTATGTAAACATTTTGTAAGGGCTTAGGTTTGACCTGTCAAAACCCTTCTTTTTCCTCTGTCCCATTTTAGCAAACCCTCCCTGTGACAATTACAATCCTGTAACGTCCCAAGGAAAGATGGCACTCCTGCAAGTGCTTTGTATTAACTTTGCAAAGGCGCTTCAAATGTTCAGGTTGTAACACAGTAACAGATAAGCTAAACAGGAGTACCGGGAGAGGTCAAATCCAGAGTAATCTAGGTACTCTTATAAATACACTTCCAATGTTACTCCACCTCATTTTACTAAGAACTAGATTTTGAGGGAGACGAAACCAGAACAAAACTGAAAAACATTATGCACTTTGTATCAGCACAAAGTACTTTGAAAGGAAAAGCTTCAGGATCTATTTTTCTAAACCAACAGAGCACATTTTAAAACACAAACTGAGTTGAACCTACATACAATTTAGGACTTCAGCAAGATAAGAATCAAACTGGTACCTCCATTTGTACAATCTAAGGAACCTTTCACAGGCATTACTGGAAAAACATCACAAAATATCCTCATACACACAGTTGGGGCTCATTCAGTCAGCAGCTTGATCTGAAGCAAAAACAGCCTAAGAGCTCACCCTCTGGTAGCACTGAGGCAGGGCATTTTCCAGGGAAGGAGGAGTTCGCTGCATCAAAATTCCAATGGATTCTTTTAAAAGTGGAACAATACTGGAAAGAAAAAAAAGGAAGTTAGCTACTATTACATTTTCAAAAGATGCAGAACAAAGAGCAACATAACATTCCTTAATGCTCTTGAAGAATTTTTCTTTAGTTGTTTCACCAGAAGCTGAGAAAGTTGCGATGAAAACCTGGTACAGAAAATAAAAGGCTTGACAAAATTGCTATGGTGTCTTACTAAAGGCAAGATTACTTTTCCTCCAGATTTTCCACAGAGACAACTGGTGGACAATCACAAAAGATTAATAGTTTAATCATGGGATTTGAGATGAAATCTCTCAGTGTCTTAAAAGTTATATGACAAAGCAGCTGATAAGTATAGTTCAAAACCAAAACCTACTTCAATGGCAATCACTCACAACCAACCATAAATATATGCAACTGAAATGGGTTTTGCTTTTGTGTTTGGCTTAAGGCATATTTTTCTTATGAACTAAGATAATAATGGGGAGATCATAAAACAAAATTAGTATGGCCCAGTCCAGCTATAACAAAGTTATTTTGTCAGAAACAGACAACTTAGCATATTCTTGAAGTGAACGAAGCATAGGGTCTCATCCAAGCTCAAGGATTAAACATTTGGAAGCAATTAGAGGTTCCCTCCTGGCCAAATGGTCTTGTTTAATCAGCAAACTAAGACGACACTTAATACCCTTTTTTATTATTATTACTTTCCTTTTTTTTTTTCTTTTATAAAACCAGGAGATCAGTAAGCCCATACCTCAAAGCTACCACTAAAAATTTATACTCTTATTAAGTATTCAGTATGGTGATTTTTTGTTTAGGAGCAGTGCATCATGTCTGCCTCAGTAGAACATCCTAAAATTTTCAAGAGGATGACAAATATCTATAGCCCAATACTGAAACTTAAATAGCAATCTAATTTCAAGAGCATGTAAGTCACCTAACACTCTAGACCAAAAATGATGATATATTTCAAAAATTGTAAGCTGAATTTCAGTGTTCAGCACTGGCATCACAGCTGGAGTACATAGAGTGATAGGATAAAAAGCAACTAGAAAACATTTGTAGGAGATTAATTGGGCTGTCTGTTAAAGGAAACTGCAGAAGCTTTGTTTAAAATCTCATGAAGCGATGTAGAACGCACTGCATAGACCAGCTGTATATTTGCAGATGGTGAACAGCATGACCTAACCCTTCCTTTCCATTTTTAAGGAGATGGTTCCATTTGTACGTGGAAGCAGTGCTGGCTGATCAACTGCTCGGCTCACTCCTTGGCTAATTGGTAGCCAGGGGTGGGGGGGAGTTAGAGCGTGCATGGCTCCCGTCTAATGGACCCCTGGAAAAACAACCACCCTAAAATTAAGTCTCCTTGCAGGCACACTGGTTATTCCAACCAAAATCTCTGCCTGATGCACTCCATCACGTGGCCTCACACAGCTGCACTGCTTCTGAGGAATCAGTGCAGAAATAGGAAGCATCAATTAGGGGCCAGCAGGAGTTGCCTAAACCAGACCTGTCACCAAAGCAATTAAACATTTAGCAACGCAATAACTGCCAACCTGTCTAAAGGAAGGTTAATTGGAGTATCACATTCTACAGACAGTGGATCACATAAGTTTTAGGGAAAAAGGTTCTCTTATCAATGGACCCATTTCACTAAATGTCCATGTCACAAGCATTACATCAAAAGAAGCTGGAGCTGTCAAAATACTCCATTGCTGAATTGATTTCAGTTTAACTCACTATTTAAATGCAGGTTTGCTTCTTAATAAAAACCTTGAAAGACCAATACACAAGTTCAGGATGCAAACTGAATACAAGATTTTTGAACACTGACTCCATGCCCATAAATTTAACAAGGCCACTCTAACACATGCATCCAAAGGCTTCAAAAAACACACAGGTACAGGCTGCACATTTCTTCTCAAGGAAAGGAGACTGTAGGAGCTTGCCTTTTTATTGGAACATACCACTAAGAGTGGAAATAAAAAAAAAAAAAAGAACATGAAACAAATCTAACCAAAACTTGCCTGATTTGCACAACTTATTTACATTATTTGATGAAACTGATGTACATTATATGATGGAATGGAAGTGAATTGGCAGATTTGGAGAGACAGCCTATGGAAATTTAAGACCAGCAGGTTGGGCATGTTAACCCATTCCAAAAAAGGATTTGGTCAGTGAAACTGGTTGATTCATTCTGGAACAGGATGCACACTGAAAAGAGGAAGTTAAAACCCCTTCAGAGAGCTTTTCAGCTGAAGATGCATTTAAAATTAAGATCTGCTTCATCCCGAAAACCTTGCTGCCTAAGAAACTGATCTTCCAAGGTTAAGTCTATGCAATCAGCAGGGTGTGTACAAGCACCAAAGACTGTCTCTCCTTGCCAGGCAATGGGTTGCAGTTTTAAGCAGCATGTATTGGAACCATTAGCTCAAAATCAACTAATATACAAAAAGGTGAATGGGGAAAGACACTCCTCTCCTAGTACAGGCAGTACAGCTTAAAAGGTAGTCTCCCCACTGGCAAGATTTCGCGTATTCATGTATTTGTAATGGCTCCACACTAAAGCTTTAAGAGAGAAACCTCCTGGGCAAGTTTTTGGCAATAATGCTGCACAAGTTATGCTTTTATCCAGACTTCACAAAAAAGCTAAAGCCATGGTGTTTAACTGAAACAGCAACATCTTAAAAGTCCAAAAGAATAGAAGTAAATCAGGATGTGGCTTGATACGGCAGGTGAAAGTTGAAGCATATCCCAGGTCACACCTCCCTCCTCCCACTTAGACACAGCGTTCAGCTACAAATTTATCTTTTGCAAAGCTGAAAAGGCCAAAAGACAGCTGCAGTGATGGGATATGTCCTCATAAACGCTGTTAGAGCACAGAAGTCCATGCACGCATTTCTGCATCCAAAAGGACACTACCTTACAAGACAGTCTTTTACTGTAAGCCAAACTTAACACGACAAACTATAGAATCCAGTTTTCTGATGTCTCAGGTTTTCCATTGTTTCATGCATACTACTGAAGTACAAAACCTTTAATTAAAAACCAAAAACTCCACACAGTATGCTCTTTTCTCAAACGCTAACTAAAAAACAGTACTACTTAATCGCCAGGACGCACTAGAAATATTAGTTCCATCTCATGTGACTGAAGAAAACACCAGGAAAGATGATGATACCAAGCAGACTGAAAATGTGGTTACAGAATTTGACAAAACTTTCCTTTTTTTTGATGAGTCATCAGTGCAAAATACACGTGGTTGTCTCTGCAGCAACTATTGCACTGGTACTTCCCCCCTTTTTTTTTTTATTTACAAAAAGATTATTAAGGAAAATAAATAATGCTGAGTTCTCACCAAATGGAGAGTTTTTTCATGCATAAGCAGTCTGTAAGCTTTGCTGCTAAAACAGACGTAATTTTCCAATTGTCTACGATTACCAAAAGCCTTGAATGTAAAATATCACGCTCTTTTACAAGACAATGGAATTTGAAAGAGGCACTAACCCACAGCAAGACTCGCGACATAAACATATCCTCTACAAAAGTCGTAATAGCAAAAGCAGATAACGTGTGCAAAATGAGTTCGCAGCACATCACGCTTTCACATACACTGTTACAGAGGAAGTGAAAGGTGTCCAAACAGATAAAAGCTATTGACATGAATCTGATAAACCCAGCCTGCCACTACTACACATGGCTTGATTAACAACAAAGAGTGAAAGCATCAGACTCTTCATCAGCTTGCATCACATTCAGATAATACCCATACCCATTCCAGTCCCATCCTGTTTATGCCACTGTTTTTGCAGGCATAGCTAGCAAGACGGGCATTGTCGTGACCTTGGACAGCAAGGCTGAAAACAACTGCGGGGTAAAGAACCCTTTACACAGTTGTTGTAGTCAGAGCACAGCAGGAAATTTGTTTAGTGCTCTCAGCACTATAGAAAATAGAGGATACTTGCGATAGATTTTGTGGAAGGTAAACAAACACTGCTAAAACTCAAGACCAGCTATGGTTCTTCAAATACCATAGCTGAAAGTCTACAGCCAGATTTCGAAACCTTTTTTTTTTTCCAGCCACCATCTACATCTGCAGTGCCAAGACTGTCAGCCTGTTTCAGAACTTTAATAAAATTTTTCTATAAGGCAATGGCAATTTTAATCAGACTGCAGACTTTGCCCATGACAAGGAAAACAGGTTTACCATTTACTTTTCCGATTTTAAATTGTCTGTTCTCATAATAATGTAGTACTTTGATTCTCAAGCAAGGCTAGCAAGTACCTTTACCCTGTAAATAACGGTAGCACATGCCATTCAGCAACGATGGCTCAAAACAACACCAATGACAAGCATGCTAATTTGGGGGAGTTTTGCTATAGAACATTCCTTCTGAATCTTTGTGAATGCAGCACTTCATTTAAAAAAGTGATTTTTTTTATTACTGTTATGCCTCAAACTTTCTAGGCATATACCCCTAACGTTACAGGCACCTCCTCCCCCAAAGCTCTTTCATATTATATCACGTTCAGGCATCTCTAGACCTTATGTAAAAATGATGTAACCCATGGAAACGACCTCACAAAATGACTGAAGTAAATTGCCTCATTTCTTTGACCACTTAATATGTAGTCTGCGTGCTCTATCCAATCTAGTATCATATTTAGTCTACGGTGCCTTTCTAGAAACATGTGGCTCTAATAGTGGTTTCGGACCGACTTCTTGCTTTATACTGGAGTTGTGGCTTTTGCTTGATGACTAATTTCACATAGCTGATCAAAATACTAAAATTGCTTCAACATTTCAGAATAAAGCTTAGAATCCTAAGGCTAAAAAATAAATGAACATTTAGTTTTAAATATTAAAAGCAGTTTAGAGACTTGAGAAATTGTTTATTGATTCAGGCACATTAAGTTATGAGGTAAACACCTTGGAAAAAAAACTTGAAGAGCATCAACCTGAACAACTATGAAATAGCCAAGCCTTTTTTTAAAAAGGGACTTCAAACAAAATGCTAGTA